CCTATCTAAATGGCAGACGTGCCAGTCTTATATAGAACCTTCGTTCTCATGATCGTCGATGGTCGCCGCGACCAAGACGACCTGGTCGTTGCAGTCGCTCGCGACCCAGCGATCAAAACTGGTCACGTGATACAGATGCTAAGAAATCCCTGGATCGCTTAGCTAGCCTAAGCATCCCTATTTGCTATAAGAGTGTGTGATGGTGCTTTAACCCGTCAGGACGCCGCCTGTTTCTTCACTTATCACATGCTACGCACGTGATTCGTGACAATACTATAGATACTAACGTAATTTATAACGTCTATATAGCTATTATAACAAACTAGGGTAGTAAAAAGTATTCCTTCTCTCCTAAATTTAGGAAAAGTACTATATTTTTTATCTTAGCACTAGACCCTCTTTATAAAGGCTTCATGTGGTGGCCTCTTCCCAGACCCCCCGCTCTTACCCCGACCCCGGCCCGCCTTCGACGCCACAACGCACGATCGGGTGGTGGGGTGTGATTGGCTGAGGGTGGTCGGGCTGGGCCAGAGTCGGGTCGGGGCCGGAAGCCGGGGGTAAAAACGGCCATGTCACCAGCGGTTGCGCTTGCGCCAGCCAAAACTTCAAGCAGTCCCATTTGCGCCATCCTCCCTTCCTCCTCCAACCATCCAAATCAACTCATTTCCCCAAAAGTGAGCAACCATGAATGGCGCCAACGGAATCAATGGCCATGCTGCTGTGCCAGCACTTTGGAGCGAGGCGCGCAATGCTGATGGTCGCGTCTACTATTACAATACCTTGACCAAAGCGACGCAATGGACTAAGCCTGAAGAATTGATGACTCCAGCCGAAGTAAGCCATTGCTCCCCTCTCCGGAATTCAATTTGTATTCATCGTTGAAAATCTGCTAACTATGCTTCATAGCGTGCGTTGACTGCCCAACCATGGAAAGAATACACCGCAGAAGGAGGACGAAAGTATTGGTATAACACCGAAACCAAGCAGAGCTCATGGGAGATGCCCCCTGTTTACAAGGAGGCGCTTTCCAAGGAAAATGTGATTCAAGCTCCTGCGCCAGTACCACAGTAAGTCAATCGTGTTACTTTGCATAGGATCGCAAGACTAATCAATGATCTAGACAGCCTACATTTGTAGCTGGCGGTGGATTTTCTGCAGCTTCACAGTTCGATCAACCACGAGACAGAGAACCCTTGGGAGAAGCCCGTCAAATTGCATATGGTAATGATGCTGACGGAAGCCGTGCCCAAGTCTTCGTCCCTGCGAATACCGATCCTGACTACTCGACATTTGAAGAAGCGGAGGCCGCGTTTCTCAAGCTTCTAAGACGTAATAATGTGGACCCAAACTGGACATGGGAGCAGACCATGCGTTCCATCATCAAAGACCCGCAATACCGAGCATTAAAGGATCCCAAAGATCGCAAGGCAGCATTCGAGAAGTATGCCGTCGAGGTTAGGCTCCAGGAGAAAGACCGTGCCAAGGAAAGGATCGAGAAACTTCGTAAAGACTTTGCGACCATGCTGAGAAGTCATCCAGAGATTAAACACTATACACGATGGAAGACCGCCCGACCCATTATTGAGGGAGAGACGATTTTCCGATCCTCTAACGATGACAATGAGAGACGCCAGCTTTTCGAGGACTATATCATTGAACTCAAAAAATCCAATACTGAACGGGAAGTATCGACCAAAAAATCTGCCATGGACGAATTAGTTGAAATACTGAAGTCGATCGATTTAGAGCCGTACACTAGATGGTCAGAGGCGCAAGGTATCATTCAGACCAATCAACAATTCCAGAATGACGAGAAATTTGAAGCTCTCAGCAAAGCGGACCTGTTGACAGCCTTTGAGAACCACATTAAGAATCTAGAGAAAGCTTTCAACGACTCTCGACAAAAACAGAAGAATCAGAGGTCCAGAAGGGAGCGACAAAACCGTGATAGGTTTGTAGATCTCCTAAAGGAGTTGAAGGCCTCGAACAAAATCAAGGCAGGATCAAAGTGGAGTCAGATCCATCCTTTGATTGTTGAAGATGACAGGTACCAGGCTATGCTTGGACAACCAGGCTCGACGCCTCTTGATTTATTTTGGGATATGGTCGAGGAAGAGGAGCGTGCTCTGCGTAGTGTTCGCAATGATGTTCTGGATGTTTTAGATGTAAGCGCTCTTTCCTTTCTTTTGAGATTTAAACCGCTAACATTCACAGGACAAACGGTTTGAGATCCAGCAAAAGACTGCGTTCGAGGAATTCCTCAGCCTCATGCAGAATGATCGACGAACTGCTAGCATTGATCGGGACGCTCTTTCGCTGATCTTTGAACGCGTAAGTGGCCTCTCCTCCCCCGCCCCCTCGTGTATAGATTCTAATGGAATACAGCTTCGCGAAAAGGTTTCTAAACGCAGCGAGGATGACAGATATCAAGCGGAACGCCATCAAAAGAAAGCTGTGGATTCCCTCAGATCTTTCATTAAGCATTTGGAACCTCCAGTCCGTCTCGACGATACTTACGAAAGAATCAGACCACGCATAGAAAGATCTGAAGAATATCTAGCTATCACCTCGGACGAGATCAGACGTTCAGCCTTCGATAAATTTATGAGACGTTTGAAAGATAAAGATTCACAAGAGAGTGTTGAGAATGACCGAGTCAGGCGTCGCGACAGAGCATCGGTCGATCGACCGATGCATCTTGAAAAGGATAGAGGTGAGAGATCACATCGTTCTAATGCACGTCATTCTAGGGCAAGTCGTAGCCCAGAACCAGATGCGTACGAAGCAGACAGACGGAAGGCTATTGCCGATCGTGAGAAAAATTATCGAAAAGGAAGTGCGGCAGACACTTTACTTTCCCCAGGCCGTCGAGGTGATCGAGACCGTGATCGGGAAAGAGAAAGGGATCGTAATCGTGATCTTGATAGGCCACACCGTAGTCGTCGTGAGGACACCATGAGCCATTATGAAAGAGAGAGAAGGGATAGAGAAGATGAACGAGAGAAGCTCTATCGCCGACGGGGTGACCCTCGAGGTGCCATCGACGAGCTGCCTTACGGCGATGAGAGACCAAACTCTGGCAGAAGACGCCGTGGTGAAAGTGTCGGCAGTGAGCGGTCTTCCAAGGTACGTTTCTGGTTTGAATTCCAATACTTCTCACTAACGCTATATTCAGAGGACAAGAAGAGAAATTACCCCACGTGAGCGAACCCCTCCTCCGCGTGAACGGCGTCTTAAGATGCCCCCAGTGACTCTACTGCCAAAAGAGGAGCCTGCCGTCCATTCAGGTAGCGAAGAGGGCGAGATTGAAGAAGAGTGAAGGCGGGCGGGCATTTCTTCAAATCAGCTTCTGCTTGTAGGTATCCACGCACACTGATGCTCTTCGTCGACAAGATGACAGTTGGGCAAATTTTAGGAGTCAAGATGTTCAATTTTGCAGACACGATTGGCGGAGCATAATCATTCAAGGAGCTTTGATTTGAAAGAAGATCGGCGACGTTTCGGTGTGTATCTGTTCTCTCCTAACTAGTTCTTCAAGCGCAGGAAAAGGCGCCCTTTTAATTGTCCTTTCCCACCTACAAATTTGTAAATAATCAATACCAAGATTATTCACTCCGTAACCATGATTTCAAAATGCTGTTGGTACATGTGCACATAATACCAGCATCTCGGTTACCGACGGCAATTCTTCCAGCCTGAACCGTAATCCCTCCATCCACTTACTCAATTGCCGATGATACAAATAAAGGGAATGAATGGCAGTAGGCTCGTGGGACCAGAAAACGGGGGAAGAATGCCGCCGCTGATGTTAGTCATCAGGCTCGTCTTGCTCGTTGCAGGTCTCTTCATCCAGAAGGCCCGTCCTACCCTTTACGCCTTGCAATGCTAACCCCTTAACGCCTATCGATGCATCCTGCACCGCGGGAGATGGTTTATTTGGTGCGCCCAGTTCAACTACTAGAAGACTTGTCTTCCTCCAGGAAGAACTGAAGATTCGATTAGTACATATAACGCGTGACATTTGAAAGTTCGATGACTTACATAGTTGCCACTCAACTTCTGTTCTTGGTCCAGTTGAGAGTTGAGCTTGTTGATGCGAGGTCGGTAGTTGCTTGGATCACGACGGAAAGTGACATCAAGATTCTCCAAGAACTTGTTGCAACCTGTGAGTAAAGACTCGGGTGTGTTGGCACGAGCGTCAATTCCTGGCTGTCCGTCAAAGACAATAACACGGTCTGCAAGATATGTTGCCATGATGAAGTCGTGCTCGACGATAAATGCAGTCTTCTTGGAGTGCATGATGAATCTCTTGATCACACGAGCAGCAATGATACGTTGCTCAGAATCTAAGTAGGCGGAAGGTTCATCGATGAGGTAGATGTCTGCAGGCATACCAAGGGCGAGGACAATGGCAACACGCTGCAATTCTCCTCCAGACAAGGTCTTGACTTCTTGGTCGATGAACTCCTCAAGCTTGAGAGGCTTGACAACATCCGTCTGGAATTGAGGGAGAAGGAAGGCAGTCTTGATTTTCTTGAAAAACAACTGTCGAACGGTTCCTTCAAATTTTGGCGTAATCTTTTGGGGCTTCATGCTGACTTTCATACCGGGAACCTTTTGGTTACCATCGGGGGCTGTAGCACCAGCCAACATCTTACAAAAAGTGGTCTTTCCTGTTCCGTTCTCGCCCATCATGACAATAATCTCAGAATCAGTAAAATCTCCGGCGTCAATCTTGAGGTGGAAACTTCCAAGTGTTTTCTCCATTGAGGGGTATTGGAATGCACGGGATCGATCAGCCATGAATTCATCAGCGGCCTCAGCGATACGGAAAGTCAAAGATTCTTCTCTGAACCGAAGATTTTCTGTAGGAATGTTTCCGTCCAAGAAGATGTTGATACCTTCTCGTACGGATGCTGGAAGTGTGACCACACCGTAGACGGCTGGTTTACCGTAGAGAACACAAATGAAATCGGAGAGGTAATCAAGCACTGAAAGATCGTGCTCAACACAGATAACATAATCATCTGGTCGAAGTAATGAACGGATGACCTTTGCAGCACTCAAACGTTGCTTAACATCAAGGTAGGAGGACGGCTCGTCAAACATATAGCTAGAATCTGTGAGCTTGGTGCCAGAAATTTTCAAGGTCTGACATCACTTACACGTCTGCCTGTTGCACACAGACGGTACCAATGGCGAATCTTTGGAGCTCTCCACCTGACAAAAGGTTGACGTCTCTGTCCATAATGTGGTTTAATTCTGGCATCTCGGTTAGTATTGAAGCATCTAGATCAACGAGCTCTCTTACCCAAAATATCAAGAACTTCTTCCATGTTGTCCATAGATGCCTGTGCCTCAATGAGGGTTCGTACAGTCTTGTCGGCGCTGCGGATCGCTTTTGGAATACGGTCGACATATTGTGGTTTAACGATGGCCTTCAAGTCATCCTCGAGGATTTTGGTGAAGTAATCTAACATATGCGCGTAAGTAACATGAAGGTCGGTATTAGATGATCATCATACTTTGCAATTCGGAACCACGGAAATACTTGATGACAGCCTGCCAATCCGGAGGATTATCATATCTGCCCAAATTGGGCTTCAACTTTCCACTCAAGATCTTCAACGCCGTACTCTTCCCAATACCGTTGGACCCAACCAGACCTAACACCTGACCAGGCCGTGGCGTAGGCAGTCTATGTAACTTGAAGCTGTTCGCAGAATATCGATGTGTAACCTGGGACTCGAGATTCGTGGGCAAATTGATGATGTTGATAGCTCCAAAAGGACATTTCTTTGGGCAAATACCGCAACCAATACACAAGTTCTCAGATATAAAGGCGATCTTGGACGATGAATCCACTTCGATGCAAAGGCGTCCACTTTTTACGACTGGGCAAGATTTCTTGCATTCCTGTCTACATTTCTGCACTTGCCATCAGCAATCCAGGCTCTCGCAGGTATAATTGGCATATGGGGATTTACTTTTGGTTTGCACTTATCCGTAGATATGATAGCGATTCTACACAAAGGAGGTACTATTAGCGCTGCGCGCAAACTCTGCGAGGTTGACCCCGCGAAAGGGCGATGGAGGGGTAATGAGGGGTTCGTACCGCTGCAGCTTGTCTTTCTCGTTGCCACCAGCCATTTTGAAATTGCTGCTGTATGCGCCTTCAAAGCGATTGTGCTTGTGGGTTCAGTTCACGCGATTCCGCGACGTTGGGAAGAAATGCGCGATAGCGGTGGAGGTGCCCAGGTGGTCTTTTGTCAGTCTGGAAAATGCAGGTGGGAAGCGAATGTGGAAGTTTGTAAATCATTGAATTGGGATTGGTCAAAGACCACGTGATATGGGGCTTCTTACTCCTCCCAAGGTCCAGCTGGTCGACCGCAGTTCACTTATATAGGTACCTGCAGGCTGGCTGCCTTGAACAAGAAAACTGCTTTATCCTAATATCTTAGCATGTGTTTTGTAATGGATCTAGACGTTTAGAGCAACTCTTTGATTGCCTCAAAATACCTGATTATTTGTCTTAATGTCCTACCTACTTTTCTATAGGTTGGTAAGGCTAGGTAGAATCCTCATCACCAACTACCTAGGTTGTTTAGCGAGTTAGTTAGAGCAAAGGAGTCTTTTGTTAGTAATTTTCTATCGCAAGGCCAGAAAGCGGCAAAGGGGATTTTGGACTCTATATCTGCAGTAGGAGTTAATGGATGGTTGTGTGTATCCACTGAAGTGCGGTATCAATAATCAATGCGTACTACTAAGGTAGTAGATAGCCTAAGTACAAAGTTGTCTAAGACATTGTTTATTACAGATTATCATGGGAGTCAGGATGAGTCCAGAAATAGGCATTTGAGTTCTGTCCTGTTTTCAGATTTGTGTGGTGCACCTGCAGAAATACTCGTAGGTATTCAGTTAATAGGTATCCAGCCTCCCAGTTGACAAGAAAAGTAGCAGAGATTTATTTTTAACTATTAGCGTAAGTTAATTCTAAGTACTAGTATGTGTAAAATATCTAGAACAGTTAGTTGCCCTTATGGTACTATCGTTTTCGACAAATCACTTTGATTATTCCAAATAAATAATATAATATAATAGTTTTTAGTTAAGTTAGGATAAGATAAAAGAGGTCTACCACTTTTCTTGTCCAATGGAGCTAGCTTCTCTGGCTTTCCATACCTATCAAGTGCCTACCAAGGTACTGAATAGACTCAATTTGGATTCAGAAATGCACAACATACTTTTGTGATGCTAACTGTAAGTTCACTAATGGTCTAACTGCATTCGGTCAAGCGCGTCGCCCCAAGTTGCGCCGCTTTTCCCGACTGGCACACACTTCACACTCCACGCCTAGCCTAGCCCACTCACTCCTGGCACCTTCCTGCCTGGTGGTCAATGCGCACTTCGCTTTTCAAGTGTTGCCGGAAGGCCTACCTCATCTAGGTATTGTCATCTCTCCACCAACCTTGGGATTCATTTGACACCCTCCTTACACCCCCCATCACACCGCGCTCCCGACCACTGAATACGCATTCTACCTCTCAGTCTCTGGGGGGACCATTCAATATGGCTTGTAAGTGTCCTCTCTCATTTTCTGTGCCCTCCACAATCCCTCTCAGACTCAAGGCTGGCGTACATCCGATGCCGTCCAGGATCCATCGTGACCAACTTCATATCTTGAGATGATCATTTGGAATGCCTCTCCTGTCACATATCTTCACCTCGCAGAGTGTCCCTACCTCCTTTAGACGTGTTGGCAGACTCTGGTCTCCTGTCCCTAGCCTTTCAACGCCTCAATCGACCGAGATCCATCGTCAGCCCGATTACTTCTATACAACTCGCGATATGAATATGCGCCAAAGCCTTTTATTCACTTATGGCAGCTTTCTGGGATGCGTTTCTGATAATATCTGGATCGCCTGCTTCTCCGCCATCTAATGATGCCAGCATGAAAAATCTTCATCTTGGGAATCTCAAGAAGTGATATCTAGAACATTGCTAACACTGCCGTCCCTAGCCCCACCATCGACGGCGACCTTGCCCAACCTGAATACCTCAAGATCTCCCTCCAATGGAGACGCTTCTCCGTTGGAGCACTCCATACTTACGAACGATGACGCTCCATACGATAGTGAATCCGCCCTCTCCGAGGTAGCGGTTGCCATCGTCGACCGACCCTCATCGGCGTCCTCGACAAATCATCAATCCGAATTCGGCGCTGGAGGTACAGATGTTGAAGAATCCTCTGTGGCGGAAGCCGAGGGTGAATCTGACGATGCCGAGTTCGATATGGAGGACAGTCCTGCTCCTGTTGTTGCCAATGGCGAGCGGGCAGATAGATCAACGTCTACAGATTCGCGTCGTCCTCCCAAGCGAAAGGCGGCCGTTGAGGACCAGCATATACTGGCCAATCCAGAATTATACGGACTTCGGAGAAGTGTGAGTATTCCTATGGAATTACAATGTCCTGGCCTCTTTACTAATTTTCAATTACAGGGTCGGCCAGTCCAACATCGTCCTATTGTATGTTGTCTGCTATTGGCTGAAACTATTGACTTCCCCATGTACTAGGCAAAAGCTCACACTTCATAGATTGAGTCTGATGATGACGATGTTAATAATGACGACTCTGATTCAGATGTCGTGGCATCTCGCAGACCGAAACGAAGAAAGCAGGAGCGGTCGCGACCAGGTAATTGACCTGAACATGCTTTCAAAAAACAAATCTTTATGCTAATTGGTTACCTATAGTCTCTAAACGGAACACCCCAGCCATTCCTTCGGCTTCAGCCTCCGAATCAGACAGTGATACATATGGCGGTGCCCGCGCTCGAAAATTAACAAAAAAGAATCGTCGGCAGGCCGAGTCGAATAGCCTAGCCCCCGCCTATCAAGAAAAACGATGGAGCAATCGCAGAGCGGCACAAGTTACAGCAGGAGCATACCAAGAGAGCGACGCAGAGTTGGATGACGAGTCTGAGATGATGACGCCAAATCAATGGATGGCGGATGTTGAGGATACCTCTGCATATGTAGATCAGGTTCTGAAGCATAAATTGAAGGAAGGAGAGTCCATGGACAATCCTGAATTGGGTCGTGATAATTTTGAGTATTACATCAAGTGGCAAGGCAAATCGCATTACCATTCGACATGGGAGACAACAACAACCTTGACAGGTGTTCGAGGCTTCCGCCGTCTTGAGAATTATTACCGAAAGGTGGTTCTTGAGTCAATATTCATGGAGCGCGGCGAAGATATCCCTCCTGAAGAGAAAGAAAAGTGGATGCTGGAAAGAGAGCGGGATTCTGATGCCTTACTTGATTACACCAAAGTGGAAAGGGTCATCGGAAATCGTAATGGAGAGGAAGAGACCGAGTACTACGTAAAGTGGAAAGGTCTTTACTATGAAAGCTGTACCTGGGAAAGTGCTTCACTTGTTAGCGAACTCTCCCAGGACGCCATTGACGGCTTTCTGGACCGCAGCTCTCGAACCCTGACTTCGTCCAAAGAAGAGTCCAACCCAAATACTCGTGGACCACACAAGACCATCCGAGAGCAACCTTCATACATCATGAATGGTCAACTACGAGACTTCCAAATCATGGGTCTAAATTTCTTGGCTTATAATTGGGCGAACAACAAGAATGTAATCCTGGCAGACGAGATGGGTTTGGGAAAAACCGTACAAACAGTGGCTTTTATGAATTGGCTCCGAAACGACAGAAACCAACAAGGTCCATTTCTCGTTGTGGTCCCTCTGACTACTATCCCCGCCTGGGCTGATACCTTCGACTACTGGGCACCCGACCTGAACTATGTCATTTATAATGGCAAAGAAGCATCTCGAAGTATCATCCGGGAGTATGAACTTCTCACTGATGGAAACGTCAAGCGTCCAAAGTTCAACGTTCTCCTCACCTCTTATGAGTATATTCTCACCGACGCTACCTTCTTAGCTCAAATCAAATGGCAATTTATGGCAGTAGATGAGGCCCATCGTCTGAAGAATCGAGAATCACAGCTCTATCAAAAGCTCCTCGACTTCAAAGCTCCCAGCCGGTTACTCATCACTGGTACTCCCGTTCAAAACACATTGGGAGAATTGTCTGCTCTCATGGACTTCCTTATGCCTGGAGTTCTACAAATTGAAGACGACATGGATTTGACGGAGGAGGCTGCTGGTCAGAAGATTGCTGATCTTACCACCCAAATTCAACCGTACATCCTACGCCGCACAAAGCAGAAGGTTGAGAACGATCTACCACCAAAAACGGAGAAAATCATCAGAGTCGAGCTTTCGGATGTTCAGGTTGAATACTACCAGAACATCATGAAGAGAAATTACGAGGCTCTCAACCAGGGTTCTACGGGGCAAAAACATTCTCTCCTGAACATCATGATGGAACTCAAGAAAGCTAGTAACCATCCATATATGTTTCCAAACGCCGAAGAGAAGATTTTAAAAGGAAGCCCGAGACGTGATGACCAACTCAAAGGGCTAATTGCCAGCAGTGGCAAAATGATGTTACTGGATCGTCTTCTTGACAAACTCAAGAAGGATAATCACCGAGTCCTGATTTTTAGCCAGATGGTCAAGATGCTTGACATACTCGGAGATTATCTTCAACTTCGTGGTTACCAATTCCAACGACTCGATGGCACGGTTGCCGCAGGTCCCCGTCGTATGGCCATTGATCATTTCAATGCGGAGGGAAGTAATGACTTTTGCTTTCTGCTGTCAACCCGAGCCGGAGGTCTTGGTATCAATTTGATGACCGCCGACACTGTGATCATCTTTGATTCAGATTGGAACCCTCAAGCAGATTTGCAAGCAATGGCTCGAGCCCATCGAATTGGTCAAAAGAAGCCCGTCAGCATTTATAGGTTGGTTTCAAAGGCCACAGTCGAGGAGGAGGTCCTCGAGCGTGCCCGTAACAAACTTATGCTTGAATTTATTACAATCCAAAGAGGTGTGACCGACAAGGAAAAGAAAGAGCTCCGCGAGAAAGCGGTCAAGGCTGGCAAAATTGGTGATCCAAAGTCCTCTGACGATATTTCCCGAATCTTGAAAAAGCGGGGACGCAAGATGTTTGAACAAACTGGTAACCAAAAGAAACTTGAAGAACTCGACATTGACTCTGTTCTAGAGAATGCCGAAGAACACAAAACTGAAGTTCCTGAAGGAATGGATGCCGACGGTGGCGAAGACTTCCTCAAGAGTTTTGAATATACCGATGTCAAGCTTGACCTTGAATGGGATGACATCATTCCAAGAGATCAACTCGACGAGATTAAAGCCAAGGAACAAGACCGTGCGAACCAAGAGTTCCTCCAGAAGATGCAGGAAGAGAACGCACCTCGTAGAGCCGCGATGAAAAACACCGCAGAATACGAGCGAGAACGGCGTCTCGAGAAGAAACGAGAAAGAGACCAGGCGAAGCAAGACGAATTGGATGAGAAGCGCGAAGCTCAGGCCAATCTTGCTGATCCGAAGCGACCGCTGAATGAGAAGGAGGCAAGAAATCTTCATAGAGCATTCCTTCGTTATGGTTCAATTGAAGAACGAGGCGAGGAGCTCATCAAAGATGCTCGCCTCATTGGTCGAGATCTCAATCTGATGGCGGACTTTATCAAAGCAATCACAGACGAGAGCAAGAGACTACTTGCAGAAGACCAAGCCAGGATTGCTGCGATGGAACGCGAATCAAACAAACCACTTACTAAAAAAGATAAAAAGGCAGTTCTCTTTGATTATCTGGGTGTGAAGAGGTTGAATGCGGAGACTGTTTTGGAGCGCCCAGGAGAGATGGCCATGCTCAAGAATCTCGTGGCCAATTTAGCAGACTATAAGAACTTCCGGGTTCCCGACGCGTCGAAAGCGGCACATTATTCTTGTCCTTGGGGGGCTCGCGAGGATGGTATGTTACTCGTGGGCATCCACAGGCACGGCTATGGAGCTTGGGTTCAAATTAGAGATGATCCGGATCTTGGTCTGAAAGACAAATTCTTCCTCGAGGAGCACCGAGTTGATAAGAAAGAGGAACGCATCAAGGGTGACGAACAAAAAGTGGCTAAAGCACCTGGTGCTGTTCATCTTGTTCGTCGCGCCGATTATCTCCTGTCGGTGCTGAAAGCCAAGCACTCTGATAGTCAAGCGGCCAAACGGGCGGTTGAGAACCACCACCGGAATAACAAGAAAAACGATAGGACCAATGGACATCGACGTTCCGAGGCCAGAGGATCTGTTTCTGCTTCGCCTGCCCCACAGAACAAGAAGAATCGCCTCCTCGACAGGGACCGAGATCGGGACCGTACCCATAGTCACAGCTATAGTCGCAGCGACTCCCATTCCAAGCCTGACTTGAAAAGAAAGCATAGTGCACCAGAGGACGATCGACACTCAAAACATCGTAAATCGGACCACGGCCATTCCAAGTCGACCAGCGAACCCGATCCTATGATGCGTATAGTCTTCAAGCCCGTGAAGGAGAGTTTGAAGAGGATACAAGCAGCGACCAAGGAGCGCATCAAATCACAGAAAGAACGTGCCAGTGTGATGAAGAGCGAGCTTGTGGTGATCGGAGACTTTGTGGAAGCTGAGTTGAAAGAAACTCCTTCAACTCAGGTGAAGTCGCTGCGGTCCAGGTTTTGGTTGGTCTTCGAACGCCCATTTTGAAACCCCTACTAACATTATGAATAGGGGCTATGTTGCAACATTCTGGCCAGTAGTTGATTCATCAATCACTGGAGTCCGCCTGGAAACAATGTATCTTAGGATCAGATATCCGGATGGAAAGCCCGGTGACACTGGGACTAATGGTGCCTCATCATCGAAGGGGTCAGCGACCAAGACCTAAAAGCTTGGGGCGTCCTTTCACATAGAATTTGATGTGATTTTACGAATTCATTGCGTTGGCGTTAACGGTGTGGGACGCGGCAAGGCAACCATACCTTGTGTCTGAAAGGGATTCATGGCATCGTACGGCGCTTTTGTTTTAGTGTTTTGTATTGTTTATTAGAGGAAGGTATCATCCTCGGAGGTGGAGTTTTTATAGTGTTTTTTCTCTGTCCGGGGGTTGGTGTCACAATCGTACAAGAACTCAAAATTTCTGGTGGGAGCGGCATTTCTGGTGATCTACAGTTTTTTGGATGGAGAGTCCAAGAAGGCATGGTGAAAGTAGCGATTACTACTTTGGAGGTAGAGTAGTTACAACAAAGCGAAACAAGAAGTTACAAATATTAATTCAGCCAATGCTGTCATAATTGATTCAGTCATAACGTAGTCCACAAGCGAGTTGGATTCCCAAGCGAAATGGATTTTTTTTCTTGGCACTCAACAAACTTATTCAGAGCGCGTTTTTTCTTAACAAACAAAATGGTTAAGCATTGGACAGAGTCTAATATGATTCTTGCGTTAAATACGCTTCGTACGAACCCACATTTAAAGGTTAAGAAGGCTGCGCGGATCTATAAAGTACCTTATACGACATTGCTTAATCGAACTCATGGAATATTATCACGACAAGATTCTATCGCTAAATCTCGAAAACTTACAGAGATTGAAGAAATGGTTATCGTACGACATATTCTCGACCTAGATTCTCGATCGTTTCCCCCACGAGTACGTTGTGTTGAAGATATGGCGAATTGTATCCTCTTGGAGCGGGGTGCAGGACGCGTTGGCAAGAACTGGACTTCCAACTTCGTACGACGACAACCTGAACTTAAGACGCGTTTTAATCGAAGGATTGATTATCAAAGAGTCCAATGCGAAAATCCAGACGCGTATAACGCGTGGTTTCGCCTCGTACGAAATATAATTGACAAATATGGGATTCAGGAGGAGGATATTTATAACTTTGACGAGACTGGGTTTTGTATGGGCCAAATTACATCAGAAATGGTTGTTACAAGTACCGAAAGGCTTTCTCGGCCTCGTACAGTACAGCAAGGAAACCGGGAATGGGCAACAGTAATTCAAGGTGTTGGGTCGTACGGCTTTGTAGTGCCTCCATATATCATTTTGGCGGGGAAGAACCACCTCTCCTCCTGGTACGAAAACAGCCAATTACCACGCGACTGGGTAATTGCTGTAACTACAAATGGCTGGACAACAAATGAGCGAGCCCTAGATTGGATTTTTCATTTCGATCGGCATACAAAGCTTCGTACGAAGGGCATTCACCGGCTGCTTGTGCTTGATGGCCATGAAAGCCACCACTCAGTCGATTTTGAGCTTTTTTGTAAGAGTAATAACATTATTACTCTTTGCATGCCAGCTCATTCCTCTCATAGACTCCAGCCACTCGATGTAGGATGTTTTCGAGCGTCAAAAAGGTCGTACGGTGCTGAACTTGAGAAATTAATGCGACTCCACATTACATATGTTTCTAAGGAGGATTTCTTATCAACATTCTATACTGCCTTTCGTACGACAATGACTGAATCAAACATTCGAGGAGGATTTCGAGGATCTGGCTTAGTGCCGTACGACCCAGATTCTGTGATTTCACAGCTTGATATACGTCCAAGGACTCCGTCACGTCCATCTACCTCAACAAGCCTCCTAGCTATTTGGGAACCAAAGACCCCAAATAACATAACAGAGGCATATTCCCAGACGTCATATATACAAAACAAGGTCGTACGACACCAAGATAGTTCTCCGACCCAGATTCTATATGGCCTAGACCAGCTTGCAAAGGGTGCACAGCGTGCAATCACTGAGGTAGCTTTATTACGAGCTGAGAATGCTACACTTCGTACAGCAAATGATCAACTTAGTCGGCGTCGTCGTACGAAAAAGCGCCGATTACAGGAAGGAGGATCACTTACTCTCCAAGATGCGCAAGATTTAGGGGTCCTTAGTAATGTTGATTCGCAAGAACAAGTGGTTTTAGTAGAAAATAGTAATTGTACGAGCCCGAGTCTAGTACCTCGCCGGCGCTGTGGACTATGTGGGAAACATGGCCATAACATACGAACTTGTCAAAAAGGAGAAGAAATATGTGAGGATTCCGATTCTGAATACTGTAATTAATTTAATTAATTGTGTCGTGAGATATTTAAGAATTTATAAAATGCCAAGAAAAAAAATCCATTTCGCTTGGGAATCCAACTCGCTTGTGGACTATTATATTTATTATATTTATTATATTTATTATATTTATTATATTTATTATATTTATTATATTTATTATATTTATTATATTTATTATATTTATTATATTTATTATATTTATTATATTTATTATATTTATTATATTTATTATATTTATTATATTTATCGAAAGGGGTTCTTTATTTTATTAACTAATTAATAAGTTAGTAGTTACTTAATTAATAAGGTAACTATTTAGAAAATTATAAACTTAGTTATTACTTAATTATAAACTTAGTTATTACTTAATTATAAACTTAGTTATTACTTAATTATAAACTTAGTTATTACTTAATTATAAACTTAGTTATTACTTAATTATAAAGTAATAGTTAAGGGGTAATTTCGAATACTTTACTAAAAGAGGGCTACTCCCTTAATAGAAAGTAGTTGTCTAGAGATTATATACTTATATAATACCTAATTAGCTAAGTAATAGTAGAGATATAATTATAAACTTATTATTATAAGATTATAAGTCTATATAATAGGTACTATAAGGTTACTATCCTTAGGTAATATAATTAGATTTCTTTTATAAAGAGTAGATTTATAGAGTTAGCTAGATTAGAGCCGCCTCCTATCTAATCTTTTACCGGGTTATTAAGATATAGGCCCCTTAAATTCCTCCCGGCTCTTACCTTAACTGTTCGTTTTAGGGGTTTATACTAGAAGCTTACATAGTATATTAGTAATATTAGTAGTTAATTATATAAGTTTCTATAATGCTTAGGTAGTCCTTAGTAGCCTATAGGTCCTTATATTCTTTAGAAAGTCCTTAGGTAGTTATTAAGTCCTTAGGCTATACTTAGGGGCTTATAGTCTAAACTAAAAATTAAATTAGTAAAATTTATAAGTTATTTTATATAAATAAAAGTACTATTAACTAAATAATATATTTCTTCTACTAATATTTTATAGGTAGAAGGTATTCTAATTAAAGCGTTTATACTTATTCTAAAGTGATTAGTATATAACTACTAAAGAATTACATTAAACAAGATTAGTTAATAGAAAAGAAAGGATAGTAATATTAGTCCTAGATTAATCTTTCTCTTTAATACGCTCTAGTAAAGTAAAGAGGTTATCTACTCTAAAAGAAAGGAGATTAAGAACTAAAACCTTAGATAACTAATTCTAACCTACTACTATAATTAAGATAGATCTTAAAGCTAGATACTATATAAAATAATAGGCTAGAGGATAAGAAAGGAGATTAAAGGAAGACTTTAGATACTTTAAACTATAACCTATATAAGCGGGTATATAGAAACTATAAGGACTTAAATCTAGATAAACATTAGTTATTTTAAAAGAAGTAGGCTAGATTAAAGGGTTACTTACCTTTATCTATCTACTAATATACTACCTAACTAGTTTTCTAGAGGTTATAGAGATATAGACCTTTAGGCTACTATAGTATAATATAGATCTATATCCTTAATAAGTCTTAGAAGGTTAATAGTAGACACCTATAATAAAGTAGATATAGATAATAATTCTCTACTTACGCCTATACTTAACTATAGGAAGCGGAGAAATAATAGTCGTATATCTTATAATACTAGATTAAAGAGGACCACTACTATATATTATACTTATAGTAGTAAGTAGACCCTAGTAATAAGAAGTAGTTAGTAAGGTCTAGGTTATAGAAAATAAAACTTAGCTCTATTAGATATATTATAATTTAAACTAGTTAAAGAAGTTCTAGGAAGTTCTAATAGAATAAAGTTATTATTAATAGCTATTATATTAGCTTAGACTTAATAGAAGAGGGTTAGGGTTGGATATTAAAAGAACTTAGCTAAAATAGAAGTATAGCGCTAGATTAAACTCTAGATATAGTTAAATAAAATTCTTATAGAGTAAAAAGAATATTTAGAGTTAAAAAAACATAACTTAGCTCTAGTAGAATAATAGATATATAGAACTAGATTAAAGGAGATAGTATATAAGGTTATAGTATTTAGATTAAGTCTATATACTAAAGAAATATTATTATACTTCTTAAGAAAAGGGGTAAGGTTATTTACCTAAATTTATATATCCATCTAGTAAGGATAGGTAATATAGAGTAGTATAAGGTAAATTTAAAGGATTAAGATAGTTATAAACAACTAGTCCTAAGAATAATAACTATACTAGATATATTAGTAATAGTTATTAGCTATCTTCGAAAGGTTGGATTACTTATAAGTATATTATATTCTTTAATCTAGTAAGACGCTATATGGTAATAAAATAATATATTTATATTCGGAAGAATAGTAATAACACTTAATCTATACTAGTTGTTAAAGAGGAAGATTAGTAAATAACCTAATAAAGAAAGCTATAAACTATAAAGAAGAACTATTTAAATAGGAGTAATAAAGTAGAAGAGTTAAGGATTAAGTTATTAAAAGAGTTATTAATAAAATAAAGAGAAGGAGAGAAGGAGGGTTAAGGAATTAACTTAAATACTATATTATATGTTATATTATTAGCGTTGCCTAATAAATATAGGAGTAATATTACTATTATAAGATTCCTAGGCTAGATTATTAAGAATATTATTTATATATAAAACTTAGTATAACTAATATAATAAGCGATCGTAAGAGGGGAGGACTAGACTAGCGAAGTATTCGCTTACGAATACGCGAGGCTTAGTATATAGAACTCGGTTATAAGATTACTCTTAATTACTATAGTAGTAAGAATAGTCTATATTAGCTATAATTAGTAAATATAGCTAGTAGTTTTCTATTTTTAGTTCTTTATACTAAATAATATGCCCTTTCGGGCTACTTTATAAAATTACTATCTATAATATAAGCTAAGCTTAGAATTAAGGAAGGCTAGTTGTAGAAGTAAGCAAAGCTAATATAGTATAGAAGCGAGCAAGGCTAGGTATAGAGGCGAGTAAAGCCGATATAGTATAGAAGCAAGCAAGGCTAGGTATAGAAGTAAGTAAAGCTAATATAGTATAGAAGCGAGTGAAGCTAATATAGTATAGAGTTCGAGGAGGGAGCTTAGAGAGCTTAGAGAGCTTAGAGAGCTTAGAGGCGAGTAAAGCTAATATAGCCTAGAGGTAAGTATAAAGC